TTTTTTTTTTTTTTTTTTTTGGTACGAGGGATAGAATGTGGGTCCTTGAGCTTGTGAGCCAGGTGGCGAAACCACTGAGCTAAATCCCTGGAATGAGATCAGGGTTTTTAACCCTAAACATTTTGTGGGATGTTTTCTGTTTCTTACTGAAGTACTCATTTATGTCCTTTTCTTGTGCTCCTAAAAGTATCCTATGTATTAACAATGTATATTCCCTATCCTAAGGAAGATGATCAAAAAAATAACCTCAATAGTTTAGCAAAGTTTAGTGGAATTGAGCTTTGGTTGTACATTTCTGAAATTCCTAGTTTTAAAATAGTTTGACGCTCTGAACATTTTTGTCCAAAATTAAAAATCAGAAATTTGAGTAAGTAATGCCACTAAAATCTCACATAGGAACACAGTTTTCCCTGAGCCTTTTGGGGGATGGATATGTGTATTTACTCAACATGTGTATATTTTCTACTTTGCCCATCTGGCATCTGTTTTGGTACCAGCCTAGCTAGCTGTTCTGTGTCAAGAGTACTTTAGCCTTTTCATTACAAACAAGAAATGAAATATTGTAAAAAAGAAAACCCTCCCACTACCCCCTTCCTTCCTCACTTTTGTTTTGTTGTTTCTGAGCAAGTTTCTTGCCATTTACCTTTGCATTTGCATTGCTCATTGATTGGCAATTTTTAAATTGTTTATTGTGCTCTTTTGTTTCACTGTTCCAGAGCTAAAACAAAAGCTACCAGGCCCTGTGAGGCACACATTTGCATGCGGTGAGTGTTGCCCGAGGAAAAAGTAATTGCTAATGCATATTTATGTGGCACAAATTTGCCATTTGTTTATGCATAAAATTATCAATAGTGCAGGGCGGCCCAGCCGTAGAAAATGGTGACCTTTTTAGCTTAATAAATAGAAATCAGCTGTTATTGTGAAGAGATCAGCCATTTATTCTGTGTTGAGGGACATTGCCGGGAAAATGCAGATTGAGGCTGGCAATATCATTAAATGGAAGGCCAGTGACCCTTTTGGTAGAGTCTATTATACTTTATCTAATAGGGGATAAATGACTCTGGTTGGCAAATGGAATAAAGAACAACAGTTTTTTTTTAAATTTATAACTGTACAGATTTTAAGCCACTAAAACTGAACAGAAAGTCTCTTGCTGACCTGTTGCTAGAATTTGCTAAAAAAGCATCTGTTTTAATGTGTGTTTTTTTTCCTTTATCATTATTCTCTATTTACGCATTGCAATAAAAAGTAAAGAAGGTGGTATTTTTTCTTAAGAGAAAAGTTTAGGTTTTGAAAGTTTTCCTTTTCATATTTTAGGTTTTTTTTTCTTTTTCTCTCTCTCTGTGTCTTTGCATGTACCTCTCCCTCATCTATACTTCCATCTCTGCTTTGAAGGTACCCTTGCATTGTATAAGGTTGCCTATATTTGATGCCTTAAAATATTGATGATAGGGCTGGGGATTTAGCTGAGTGGCACTGTTCCTGCCTTGCAAGCACAAGGTTCTGAGTTCGATCTCTGGTACCCCCCCCAAATTGATGCTAGATATTTTCAAAATAAAGTTAGCCACTAGTGTAAGTTGATTTTTTAAAAACTAAGCATAATATTATTCAAATAAAGTACCTTTTAAGGAAGTATGTGGGCATTTCGGTTTCAAGAATCTTCAGGATATTTTCCCTTTATGTAAAGGAACCTCTATTAGGTTGTTTCCTCCCTGTATCTGATCGATGAAATGCACTCCATCTCCTCAGTGTTCACCTCTGCTGCAGGTTTCATACAGTATAACTTAACCACACACAGGGCCTGTTTGGCATGTTCGTGAGCATTTCTGCCTCTGGCGTTTTTAAACCTAGTTGTTTAAAATCATTATTGAATTCACTGTTAAATGGAAGTTTGTGTGTGTGTGTGTGTGTGTGTGTGTGTGTGTGTGTTTTAATGTTACCATGTAATTTTTGCTATACAATGTATGTAGGTTAGGAAACAAGGTGATGCATCAGAGGCCTGGAAAGCCAGCCCAGAACATGGCTAACATCTTTGAAGCTACTTGCTTGCTCCCCCACAATGGTGCATCCTTCCATGACTCTGTCGCACTGTGTTTAAAGTTTCCACAGAGTGGTCTTGCTGCCGCCAGTCTTTCCTCCTGATGCACTTTGGTGTCATGGTGCATTCTGCAGCATGTCTCCAGCCTTGACTGAGTGACCTTTTCCTGGCAGAAACGTTCCTTTTTAAGGCAGAGGGTGTAAATAGGATTCAGACACTAGGGTACATTAGTCCATAAAATGAATATATTTTTATGTCATTTATAAGGTATTGATTTTAGGTCCATTAGATTTACCATCCCCAGTGGGAGGAAAAAAGAATCAGTGATTTAATGGGCAGCTTGGAATTCTAGAAGGGAGAGCAGCCGTGATTAACTCCTTCGTCATCCTCCTGCCATGTTATATACCACCTTCTCGGAGCTCAGATGAGAATGGGAAAGAGGACTTACCTTCTGGGATTCCTGCAGTTTATAAGGGTCACAAACCATTTTCAGCTCAACTATTACCACGTCTCTGAACAGAGAAGAGATCACTCTGAGTTGATTAAAGTTGCCAAAACTGTTTGGTTAGAAGGCGGTTCCTTTAAGAAGACAGCTTTCAAATGGAAGAATTCATGTTGGTTTTACAAAACCCAAAGCATATTATAGAACAGGAAAAATTTGACCTTAGTTTTCTATTTTTCTAATAAACAACGAAAAATATAATTTATTTATGAACTTCAAGAAGAGACATTTCATAATGATGTTGTGGCAGTTACACGTTTCTTAGGCAAATTTTAAGTGATATAAGTGAGCCTGGTGATCTTAGTAATTTTGAAAGTAGGGTGTTTTCTGTTTTATGCATAGAAAATTATTGGTTTATAGAAGTCTCTTTTTTTGTTACAGGCTACTAGATATATTTCTCTGCTATGGAATTAAAGTTTGGGTGCAGAGCACTTGTAATTCTAGCCAGTTTTATATAACTGATAGTACTATCACCTAAAAGGAATTTCACCTGCAGCTACGTGGGCAGCTAATCCTCATTCTTCTATTTGAAAAAACTAAGTTTTAATGTACATAGGAAATTTTTAAAAATTCCAATTTATCTTTCCAATCTTCTGACATACTAATCTGTTATGGTTAAAGAAAAGTATCTCAATTGAAATCTGATTATCTCGCAACTTGACCTGATATAAAGATGCTGGTATCAACAAACAGTTTTAGAATTTCATATTTTATTATTTTTCAAATTCTGTTACAAAAATATGAAAATACAGGCTCCCTCTTGTGGGTAAAATTACCACCTGTGATTTTTCTCTGTCAGACAAATATATGATATGACAAAATTTCTGTTTCATTTCTAAATCAATACAACTGTGCCAGTGTCTTTACATTTGGTCACATGGGACATTTCATTAGCCTGAAGGAAAATAGAGTTTGAGTGTTTTTTTAAAAACTGGCTGTGAATAAACAGCCTTTATTTTGTTAGCAGCATAATTTCCTATATTTGATGTTTTTAGTAGTAACTTTGGAATACTTCCCAATGGAATAATTAGTGCATTAATTAAATAATGCAATTATTATCTTTGTCATCATTGTTACTTTTGAATTTCTGTGCTCATTATGAAAATTTCTGATATCAAAATGAATTACAGTGCCCTAATGCTCTATGAAGATATAGTATGGTAGTAAAACTACTCAAATATCATAAACCTTTTGACTAAAACTTAGTCAGTGGCGTTATAAAAATGAACACTGAGGTATCACTCAGTTCTTTAGCTGGATAATGAAAAGACAAAACCAGAACCCACCCACTATGTGTGAGTTCCGTGCTTTCCTGAGTCTGATTCTTGGGAAATGCAAATGATTGACAGGGATTGTTTTTGTTAATAAGAAAGAATTTCATACCTTCAGGATAGTGTAGGGGAAGGGTTTCTGAAGGTGAAGGGCAGTGGAGCAGAGGTAGGAATGCAGAGAGCGCCACGTAATTACTACATTGATTTTCCTGTTGCATATTATACTGGAATCAAGGAAGGAACCTAAGAAGACGTCTGAAGACTTCTTAGAACTCACTTCAAGAAACAAGAATTTTTGTTCTAGAACACCTGCAGGTTATTTCCACAAAAATAAAGCAAATGAACAACTTCTGAATATATTAGCATAGGTGCAGATGACATGACACGGGTACATAAGTTTCTAGACTTTTCTGGAGGCTCCAAAATGGCAAGATAATACTTCATCTTCCATAAACCATAAACTTGTTTGCAGAAGTATAAATTTTCATATATAAATAAAATTTTATTTTAAAAACCGTGGATATCACCTACTTCCAAGAGTCATATTTTTAGTAAATTAAACAATGCATTATTAATCATGTACTTTTACTTTTCAGGATTCCTCTTGCTGATGACATGATTCCTGTTTGAGTCTGTTTACAAGATTCTGAAAGCTGAAGAGGGAATTGTAGTACGGCACTGGGTAAGAAAAAAAGTATGTTTATAATATACATAATGCATACCTTTGAAAAATTGATTTGTATTTCACAGAAATGACAGTTCATATTCCTTCTCTCATTTTTACAAGTAAAATATATGAAACCTATGCACAAAAAAGTACTTTATGTCATCTTTCATATTCAGATGACAACTGGCTTTATAATTATAATTTTGAGACTAATTATGAAGGTAATATCTCTAAACTGGCAAACGATGATGACATTTCTTTTGTTTTTGTTTTCTTAATGAAATACATTTTTCTTGAAGTTGCAAAAGCTTCTGTTGACTGGAGAATGTTTTTCTAAAATATTTGTTGCTGCTTTTTTTGTTTCTTTAAAGGGCATATTTTGGGTCACAATGAGTTGGTCATACATTTTAGAAAAATTTCCATAGATTGTTAAGTATTCCTAGATATGTTTCTGTAAATGCATACAAAAATGCAATATTACTGAGGCCAAACAAATACTTTCTGATCTCCTAGTAGGAAGACCCATGGACATCTATCTTTGTGTGCATTTGTGTAAGGTGTATTTGTCTTTTCAAAAAAAATGTATACCTGTGAGCAAGAACTAAAAGTTTCAACTAGTGTTGCAAATCCCCTTTTTAAACTTTTGTCTGACTAGTCTTCATATGAGTAACTATAGAGAAGGTTAAGGTAAGGAATTCTGCTGTTCAGCCAAGGATTGTTCCTGTTAAGATTGAAAAGGAAATTTCTTACTGATAATTTTTTAAAAATTTAGAACTAGTCATTTTAGTGGTCTGGAACTTATATTTTTAGTGATATACTCTCAAAATGTTATGAAATTTTCTTTAGCATATCAAGATATAAGTATATTTGTGGAAATAAATTGTTATAAACTCAAACTATGTTAATAAAATAGTTCTTAACTAAGCTTCATATATTCACAGACAAATGAAATAATATAAAAGAAGGCCTAGTAAATAATGAATTGTTATGCTCACAAAATGACATAAAACAAATGAATTATTGCAACCATAAAACTCACATAATTTTGCGAGTTAAAAACCCCAATATAGGGCTGGGAATTTAGCTCAGTGGTTCCACGACCTGCCTCGGAAGCGCAAGGACCCAAATTCGATCCCTGGTACCAAAGACAAAACAAAACAAAACAAAAACAAGATAAATAATATTAAAAGACAGATGGCAAACTGGAGCTAGTTCCAACAAATATGGCAACCATCAACTGTAAAGAGTTATTACATATTATAAAAAAGATACATAGTAACTCTTAATTTAAAAGATAACAATGTAAGAACAAATAATTGATGAGGACTAAAATTTGACTTCAACAGCTCACAAATGAAATGCAAAGTTCTGCCAGAAATACTGTCTAATCAGTAAAAAGTACTTTGAGTGGTGACACAGTAGTAGAGATATGAGGAGAGGCGAAGTTTCCCAACTGCTAGGGATAGGTTATATTAATCACTTGGTCTAGAAAGTGATTTGGCCATCTCTGTTAAGATTCTTAAATGTTTTCAAAGCATTTTGTGTGACATGTCCACTTTTGGTTGGGAAAATATTTGGTTGCAGGTAATCCACAATAATAGTTTAAGAAGGATGGAATTTCTTTTCTTATGTGAAGTCTAAATGTGTGAGTTAGAATTTGGTGTTGGAGCTCCAGTGGCGCAATCGGTTAGCGCTTATACAGAATTTGGTGTTTATAGTCTTCGGGAATCTGGAACCTCTATTTTTGGCCATTACACTAAGCATGTGACATTCTCCTAGTGTTTTTGACTATCCAGAATTGATATTCCAGCAATCATGTTGATATTTCAGTAGTAGGAAGGAAATAGTATTGGAAAAGTGTCCCTTCCATTGAGGGCATCATCTGAGAGGTGGCACATCCCTTATATTACTCATTGGCTACAACAGTATCGCATAACCATTCCAAGCAGCAGAAGAAACTGAAGAATGAATTTCTATTTTGGAAGAAAAGATTTTGAAAATTCTTACAGTGCAAGCTTCTTACAATTTTACTTCCAAGAGCCTATGTAGTGAAATAGTTTTAAAAGGAAATACTTTATATAAATTTTCACATATTTATGATGGAAAGAATTTGAGATTGATTTATCTGGTCAACAATAGAGAAATAGTTATATAAATTTAAAAACACTTACATGATAGGATAATATATAGCCAATTAAGTATTTTTAAAGAACTTTGAAAACCACAAGAAATTATATATGTTTTTATATTAAATGAAGAAGTCAGTCTACAGTAAGGATACAGTACATTCCAAGTTTGTGTATACAAACACATATACATTCATACACATATATGCATTCCTGTGTGAATATATTATATATTATATATATGTAAAAATATTATACATAAAAATAATGGAAACTACTTACATCGATTGTAATTATCTCTGGATAATGGAATCCTGAGATTTAAACTTCCTTGTAGTTTATAATTTTTAAACAATAAGTGTGATTTAATATTAAAATTTGAGAAATGTAAAAGGTTCTGGACTCTAAAGGATTTCATAAGTTACTTAGTGCCTCTGTCTATTAATATGTTATATGTATGTTTCTTTGAGGAGAAATGAAACATCCCAGCATGCATTCTTTTCACTTCTTCTGAAGTCTGGTTGAAAAGAGTTTTCTTTATTAGGAGTGCATACTACCTATTAGAAAGCTTGATCATATTGAGACCTGGGAGCCTCTTGAGTTAGGAAAATTTGAGCTACTGGGCTGCAGGTCATTGGCACTAAACAGGCACGTGGAGGTTTCCGGTACGTATGCCAACTTCAACCTTTTGCAAAAAAGAAAAGTGGGGGGTAAAAGGAGAAGAGGAAAAGAGAAATGTATTTTAGATGTGTTATGTACATGTCCCAACTCCCCAGGATGAATCATTCTGTACTGCAAACATACTAATACGAATTTTAAAAGAAAAGTGCAAATTTGGCAAACCTTTTGTTGTTGTGATTGTTATATAAGGGAAAGAGTTGGAGTACTATTGTTCTAATTAAGAATACTTTCCTCCTAAGTATTTAAAATATTTTAAAATATTATTTTACCTTAGGATATTACAACAGTGAGAATTTAAACTATGTGAGAAAAATCACAACTAGATAAAGATCTTACAAAGAAATTAGACTGAGAGCACTTTTTGCAGAATTTATGCTGACTCTAAGAACCTATAAAGTATTCTTATATAAGGAGTTAAGGATATATGAGTATGATGGATAAAGAGGTAGATGGTAGATTCGGGAGACAAACTGTGTTCATCTGACTGTACGCTTACATTATTGGGTTATTTCTTAGCCATTGTGCCTCACAGTCATCATCTGTGAAAGGTAAATACGAATGGAAAACAGTAGACATATATGTACAACACAGATGCTGGTGAGGTTTAAAGTTATTAAGCAAAACCCAAACCATTTCTGGAGTCAGAGTCCCTTTAAATGATTGAAGTTTCATTTCAATAGAAAGAATAATTTTAAATCTAAATGTTCCTAATAAGGTAACATCAAAATATATTAAGAAAAAATTTATAGAGTAAAAAGGAGAAATAATTCATAATAGCACTATATTAACTCCCTTCTCTCATTAGTTCATGGAATAAAATGGGAGGAAAGATTTAGAGTTGAAAGGCAGTGTTAAGAAACTTGCACTTAGCAGGGTGTGAAGATGTATGTGGATACAGAGACAGGAGGATTACAACTTTGAGCCCAACCTGGGCAACTTAGAGATTTAGAATGGCCCTGTGTCTAAATAAAAAAATAAAATGATCTGAGAGTGCAGCTTGGTGCAGAGGCTGTGAGTTCAATCTCTAGGAAAACACACACACACACAAACACGAGTATAAATCTTAATCTTGGTGTATAAGAACCTTGCATGTTATTGTATAATTGACAGGTTTTTAAAGCACATGTGGAACAATTAGAAAAATTGACCATATTCTAAGTCAATAAATGTCTCAACACTCTATCAATCATATTCAAAGTTTTGATATAATGCTGTAAAACACTCAAGATGCAAGTGAATAATAGTTTATATAGAAATAGAATTTAGTGTAGAGATCTTTTGTTTCTTTTGTTAGATTGATTCCTAGATACATAAAGAACTCAAAACAATCAGTCCCCCCAAATATAAAGACCCGATTCAAAAATGGGCATCCGAAATGAACAGACATTTCTCAGACAGAGAAGTAAAAGCAGCAAGAAAATATTTGAAAAAATGTTCCACATCACTGGTCATTCGAGAGATGCAGATGAAAACAACACTGAGATTCCACCTCACCCCACAAAGAATGGCTGCTATCAAGAAATCACACAATAACAAATGTTGGCGGGGTTGTGGGGAGAAAGGAACCCTTCTCCATTGTTGGTGGGAGTGCAGACTAGTGCAACCACTATGGAAATCAATATGGAGATACCTCAAAGAGCTTGGACTGGAGGTTCTATTTGACCCAGCCATCCCTCTGCTGGGTATCTTTCCAAGAGAACTAAAAGAATCATATCACAGAGAAGTTTGTGCACCCATTTTTATAGCGGCACAGTTTGTAGTAGCTAAATCTTGGAAACAGCCTAATTGCCCATCCGTTGGAAACTGGATAAAGAAGTTGTGGTTTTTCTATACAATGGAATACTACTCAGCCATAAAGAACGAGAAAATAGATTCATTCATAGGAAAATGGATACATATTGAAGATATACTCCTAAGTGAAATAAATAAGTCACACATGTGTAAATACCGAATAGTTTCCCTGGTGTAAATAATCTGCAACAATGCATAAGATTCTAATAAGATTACTGACATTTAGAAATGGGAAGAAAGGAGCTAAAGGTGTAGGGAAGGTGGGATGGGTAGGGGAAGAGTAAAAAGGGAAAAGAAAAAAATGTGAGAGAATGAAAAGATGAAAATAAAGTGTTTGTAGATGGGGAGGGGAGGAGGGGGTGAAGGGAGGGTAGAGGTAAGGGGAAAAAATGAGAATCAAGACATGTCATGTAGAGG